TCATCGGGCAAAGACGCAACAATCGCCCTGGCGGCCTCAATACACCCATCCGCCATGTTCCTTGAAAAGCTTGCGTCGTGGGAATCTTTCCATGGTTGCCGTCGCGCAGCCAGAAACGGTCGTGTAAGCAAGATACGCGCGCTGCAAAACTGAAACTTGAGGAGCACACGCTCACGAGAAAACCCATCGCTAGGCCCTCGCCCATCTCCATGCGGTCGGAGCTCCAAAGGTAACGAAGAAACCCACTGGTCTAAGCGTTGACGCAAAAATGTCGAGTCCTGCTGAACATCACTTGGAGACCGGATCATCGTACCAGCCGAGTAGAGTGAGGTGAGAATATTCTGGGTTATTATCGACAACTGTACCCCGGCCCTGAAGTACAAACCAGGACCGGTGCCTGGTTTTGCAAAGCCCTGTGGTGTCACAGGACGGTTCGCGGCAACATTGGATGAGACGGGAAACGGGGTCAAGTGTGACATCGCTACATCCCCAATATTGGCATAGGCTGCTGTGATTCCCTCTCCTCTGCCGTCTTCAGAATTCGTCATGGGCAATGGTACAGAACAGTATGAGTCGACCACGATGCTTGGACGACCGGTTATGACGCTGAGTATTCTCTCAATAGAGTATAGGCTCCACCAAATCTGCACTAGAGATTCTCGTTTCTTCGCATTGGCCGACGGGTCTTCGTTTCGCACATGGAGGCCCAGGGAATATGCAGAACGCAGAGCGATGCCGACGATTGTCCAAGCACTAGCATGGTCAGCACCTCCGTCACTCTCAGCCTACACAGCAAAATGGACATTAATCAGGCACTTACCGATTGACCTGTCCAACACTAAGCCAGTAGAATCCGAGAAGACCTAAGCTTTGAATCTGTGGCACATCTGGATGAGAAGCCACTGCAGCCTCACTCAACCCAAAAGCACGCGCCCGTGCTTGATATGTAATGTGCTCATTTGCCAACCAGCCTTCATTCAGGTGTGCATAGTTGGCTCCAATGGCAAAGACGAGGTTCAGGATGATTTGCCACTTTGGATTCAAACTTGGCGCGTTCCCGCTCTGCAATGCCCCAAAGTATACACGAGCCTGCTCCGTAAACTCTCTACTGGGAAGAATAGGAAAAGAATCGTGCACTTTGGACATGTAGCATTGCACTACAGGGTTAAAAATGTCGGGTCAGCGTATATATCACAGGAAGTATACTGTTCATCCGTGACTTACACAGATGCTCGGCAATATGAGGTTGCGGCATTTCGTGCGGGTCCACATAGAAGTCTATGTTTACATCGTCACAATCTGTCCAGAAGCTGAACGAACTAACCGGCTCGCTGCTGGTGGCGTACGAAGGGTGTCGTGCCGGTCCCGAACTATCCCAGCTCCCCTCTGTTCTCTCGGCTTGGGCGAGTGCAACTGCGCGCAACCATTGCACCTCTGAACTCTTTCCGACAAAGCCTGTTGACCGAGCTTCATCCTTACTATGCAAGTCTTCATCTAGCAAGTCTAGAGCCTCAGTTTCGAGATGCTCGAGATAATCGATGCTGCCCAACTCAACATTTCCGTGTGAGCTCTGAGCGTCGACGTCAGAGTTTGACGGCGTTGGCGTCAGCCTGGGCTCCGTCAAGTCTTCGCCAATCTATGCTGTGTCAATACAAGGGAGCCTTTGTTGACTTTGGAGATAAAGGGGTTGGTAGCAAAGGCTTACTTCGTCTAAAAGATCGGTGATGCGATTACTGTCCTGGATGTTTGCGCGGTCTCTGATTTCTCTCAGCAATGCAGCCAGCTGCTGACATTGCTGCGTAATCCTGGGGCTGTTAGCACTGGAATTATGTTAGGCAACAGAAAAAACACCCACGTTTTCAGTCGATCTTTCCGAGGCAGGATATACACGCATTGGCGGTTTGTGGTCGCACAATGCTTACATGTCGGCTTCTCGCCTGTACATTTGATCTTGTGGGAACGACACTAGACACGCAGACAGGCTGTCAGAAATCATATCAAATTAGACAGAGATGGGAGTTGGCAGGCGACAGTGGCTCCTGGCGATCGTCGAAAAGACCATGGTCATACCACCCCACGATTGCACAGGAACATCTGTGTATGATTCAAACTCACCCCAGTACACGCCCGCGGCACTCGACGCCTATCCTGTGTTCCACTCTGTCCAGTTTCGACCCGTTGTAAGCGTGGAATAGCGACCTTATGTTGAGTGGACGAGCTCGGGCCGTATATGGCTTGGGGATCGTATTCCGGAGCGTTTGAGGCCATGGTTTTAAGGCAGCGCTATTTTGACCGAAGTTGAAGTAATCGCTTCAAAGGATGTACAGCTTGTCTATCTGACATGGGTTTAACGCTATACAGTAACAACGTATTGCCCAAGGACTCTGCATCGAGTCGGGCACGGTGGGACCTGGACCTATGGGGTTGGCGGCTCCAATTTTCGCGTACACTGTGCATCCAAACATGGTTATTTGGGGCAAGGGGCCCTATTCGGATCCTAGGGCCGGCAGTCTCGGCCGTCGAGCTAATACTGTGTTTTCTCCATAAACTCGGGAATTTGGAACGGGACACTTGGCCGTGTCCAATGAGAGCGTCAAAAACAGCCTTCGACCCTGGTGATTCAGGTCTTGTCGTCAGGATAATAATGGGCTGATTCTTCTGCTCTACGGATCACAGATACAAGTGGAAATCGCTCTCTGTGCAGAAAACCGTTCTTCCAAAAGCATGAAGAAGATTTGCGATCTTCCCTATTAGGGTTTCTACGATTTTCCTTAAAGCACGCTCTGCAAGGCTAAACAGACAAACAGAATCACGCGAACAACTCGTTTCTAGGCATAAGCAAGGCCAAATGGCAGGCGGTGTCAGAAGAAGTGCCGATGGCGACAAGAGCAGGGACAACGAGAGATTTTGTGGGAATACACACATGTACAACTTCATCGTGAGCGCCTTACCTTCCCTCGTCCCGCATCATCCATTCCGCGGCGAAAACACGTACATACACACGTACACACATACATTCCACATATGGGACAACGGCGATTTCTGAGCTGCATGGGGCAATTGGGCATCCCTTGCGCAAGTTGGCCTCACAGTTGCATGGGTTTTGACTTGTGTCTCCGACCCTGATACCCTGTTGCACAATATGCGTTACCAGGCTCAATGACTCGACCGTTAGCGGCAGCACTGTGTGTGCTCCAGGGATGGACTAGTTCAACCCCATTGAGAACACTCGGATTTCCAACACCATACAAGTAAATCGATGTGAGAAAGAGAGTATTCCATGTCCCTGGGGTCCAGGGTGAGAGCTGCACTTGCTCATCTGACTTGGACTGCCAATATCCTTTGCTCACATTGGACCCAGTGGCGGTGGTAAGGTCCGCTACGACATTAGCTTCATGTGGAGAGGAGGATACCATCTTCTTATTCCAGAAGAAAAAACACCATCTCCGGTTCAAACACCAACGTACGAATCGACGGTCATCGTGCTCAAGCTTTCCCAAGTAGATGAATCGGCCGATTGTATGTCCTTTTATGTACAGATGCTAGGGCCACATGGACAGTGCACAGTATAGCGGTAGCTATGCTACTGTACGATAGGTGTACCTATGTTGATGAGAATATTGATCCTTCACTTCAACACAGCTGAGCTTTTCGGATTCGTAAATCACAGAATAGCCTCGGAAGTCAAAGTTAATAGGCGATGTTGAGTCGCGATGATTGGCTCCCATGTTGGCGCGGACCAATGGCAAAATATACCGCGTTTATGCGCCAACGAGCAAAGATGATCGATCAGCTTTGCTTGCCTGATCGTCTCGCGTGTTCCGCCGAGCCATCGAACGTATGTACATACATACATAAGTAGCAATTCAATCCGGCTTACTGATAGTATATGGCGCCACATGCTTCGAATCGCTTCGGAGAAAGACGAAGGTTCTAGTAGTGCTCACATTGAGAGAGCATGTACTTGGACACGGGCATCCGATACCACCAATCAGCTTCATCCTTTTCGCCTATCTAACCCCCTTGGTGCTGATGCCCCCGCCAGCATCCGTACATATATGAGCTGATGCTATGCAAGAGTGGCAAGAGGTCTATTCGACCCCAAGCACGCATCGCATGTCTCCACACACCCCGACGCGATCCCATCGCGATTGCGTACATATCGGTTTCTTGCTTTTTGTGGATACCTCTCCACAGCTGGTCGCTCTGCCATACGTAGATGGTTTATTAAGCGACACCATGCGCCTCGTGGCTGGCCCTTCTGCTTCTTCACCCACTGTGCTAGTGGCCAAGGTACATACACTTCTGATGCCCCAGTGCACGTACGTCCATACATGCATAGATACATGCATCTTCCTCGCACATCATTCCCATAAAGGACACCTGCTCATCTCCGCGCGGGCTTCAGGCTCACATGGACAGACTCTCAGGGACACGGCCTTCCGGTGCGCACCGAGCTATCATGTGCTCGACGCATCAAGGAAACTATGTACATAGTTGTGTGCTTGGTACGTGTGCCATATTAATCTGGGTTTGAGCGAGTTGACACATACATCGGAAGCCCAATTGGTGGCGCTTGCTTGGTCAGACGTGACTCAAGACATCTGACTCGAGCAGAGAGATACCAGCCGATCCGCTGGCACTGTGTTCTCGAACTTTTTGCGCCCAAGATATTGCGAAATACATGCAAAGAGTCGGATACTGTAACATCGATCAGTGGAGCCGTTGGTGAGTAATCCTTCGCGCCTTGGCTTTGCTGCATTACCACAAGACAACGTCCCAGACTTCGACCTAGCACAGCCACATACCCACTTTTCCGTTGATCCCCTCTTCCACCTTCCTTCACCGGGTCACCGTATACCGTACATGGAGAAACAAGCGCTCGCTTATGTACTCGATAGTACACCAAGAGATGTATATCGAAAGAACCACAGTGGCAACGGACAAGAGTGGAGCGCCAAGTATTGCATATCAGACAACAGTCGCTAACGCCATTCGGTCTATCCAGAGCCCCATTCCACTGGCTGAAGCTTCAGCCTCATCCCATTTACCGGCTTACTCGTAATCGTCCCACCTGCAACAACTTTTTTCCAGCGGGCCCGCCAACTCCATCGCAAAGCTACCCACCAACACCGCCACGAGTGCCCGCAGCCCAGCTCTCGCAAACCTCTCACCAATACAACTTCTTGGGTCCGTGCGAAAATGTCAGAAAACTATAGTTGCTCTCTGCTCCACCCCTCATGGTCGGGCGTCCAGTTTCCTTGTGGATCCAACATTCAGGCACAAATTCCTGGCATCTGTGCCCCACATTGTGGAGTGGCGATTTATCGCCTACGGAACAATATAAATTGTGGTTCCAACCGGGATATGATGCCCTTCAACCGTTGTGTCGCGGATAGCGACGCGCATGATTATAGGAATCGTGGGGAAGAGTCGAAGCACTTCGTTACACACGCAATTGAGGTAGAGCATGCTTTCCAAGAGGCCGGCGACATCAAAGGCTGAGCTTAAGAGCACCTCTGGATCTGGTATGTATTCATAGATTTCTAACCGCAGATGGCTTTGAATGCCTGTATGTTGGGATAGGAGATACGACGCTCATGTCAAGGTGGATGAAGTGGTTTTGTGACTATGGCTGTAAGCTGTTGCCCGAAAGAAAAGGCTCATGGCATGACTTACCCAGCCACTAAGGTCGTAAGAAGGTGATCCACGATTCTCGTCCGGGAATTCATTACTTCTGGTTATACACGACAGAATATCTCGGCTTCCCTGGCTGCCTGCGCTCTAGAGCTTCATTTTGGCCTTTTTTTTAGCCACAAAATCGCCACATATCTTTCGCAAGCGGATCATCCCGAACTTTAACCTATTGTTAAGCCCCCATGGCAGCTGTTCAACCATCCAGGGCGACAAGAAAATATGGGAAAGGAAGTAGAGCACTTTTCTCTCGTCGGTTCGAAAATCTGCTCGTAGATATTGACCAACTCATCATCGCTATGCTGTAAAGAATCAATGCCGCGACCCAGGCCCCCTAGGCCTATCATGTCCATGGTACCTTGGGTAGAATAGTGCCCCATCTCTAGTATTCGATCCGGCCGCTCACCCAGATCCTTATTATATGACGGAACTCAGTCGATTTTGCCCAAAACATGGGATACAGATCTCTGATGTTCCGGAAATGGAAGGCTGATGTAATGCTTTTACGCATTTGTCTATGCTCTTCGCCGTCAGGCGTAACTAGGCTCTTCCCGATGATCTTCTTCATAATTGTTTTCCTAAATGGTGGCTTCCCAAAACTGTAGCTTTTGTGTACAAAAACGTCTGCCAGCGCTTCCGTCGACGTTGGCATCAGCGTTGTTGTATGGAAGATGCCTCGGAATACGACAAGGCCATCGTTGGGTATATCCTTCATGGTACCGAGAAACGATTCCCAGGGGGCTTGACGCATCCACATCCAACTATGGCCGATGATTGGAATGAAACCTTTCGCCTGCGGCAGACTAGAAAGAAAGGATACAAAACGGGGTTGTAGAAAACCAATATGCTATTGTTGAGCAGCGTGAAGAAGACGACATGCCTCATAAGAGCATAGACGTTGTTGTCATTGCTGCTGCTGTCTTGAAAAAAGATACGGGAATAGCTTGAGTGTGGCCATTGCCTCCAGGATAGGGTACAAGACGCAGTTTGCAAGGTTGAAGTGCATCTTGGCGCAGTCATCAGGCGACATGTCCTCTCACAGGTAAACGATTAATCCCAAATCGCTTTCTTCAGACGCGCGCACCAATCCAAGTATATCTATCTGAATTCTACACCTTTATTTCTGCGTACACAGGCCAACATATCCGTCAAGTTAGGATCCAACATGTGCGTACGAAATAAGCAAAGGCTATTGAGCAGCTTAGCCAGAAGTAATAGGCTCCCCCCTGTGATGTTGGAAAAGCGAGATTCTCTAGTTCGATAGCTGAAGTTACACCGCCTCCGTATAGCTTGTATAAGCAAGAAACCAAGATTACACCTGAGCGGATGCGGAAACCGTTGCAGATCATGTTTTGAGCAATTGCACCAGATGCGTCATACACATAGTTGCCACCATCGCGGCTCGAGTTGCGATCAACACGGCGAATAGAGGGTAGCAGGGGATCGATTGGCTCGCATACCGTTGCGTGTTTCGTTAACCGTGGTAGTCAATGCTGATCAGGCACGAGATTGCCGAGATTGATATCAGCTGCGTGTCTGAAACCTAATCCTCTCGTTTTCTCGCAAAGTTGGCCCAATGAGAGGTATCCAGTCACGCCATTCGTAATCGTTTTTGCAAACCTCTAGATTAGGCTCAAATCAAAATGCTGTAGTATGTAGTTTCTCGCCTTGGCTTCGTATTCCAAGTCTCAAAAATCCAATTAAAGAATCTTATTATGAGATCGACTCATTCGTCTAAATTACCGAAGATCATTTCCTGCATAAATGGATCTGGATTTCTGCTTGATACCGCTATCGAATATGCAAGCCCGGGTGTCTAGTAAAGCGAAGCTTTGATCAATGAACCCGACCAGACAATGTCAGTGAGAGAAAAAGAAAAGGCAAACACGACGCACTTGCCATCGGAGAAACAACAAAAGAAACAGACACAACCAAAAAAAGTGGCTCAAAAGTAAATATCAAACCATCGTCCCGTATCTGTCCAAGGAAAAAAAACACCCCCCACGTCTACTCCACGCTTTCTTCCCTCCCTCAAATCCCCCCCTTTCCACATCAACTCCACCCTCTCCTCCTCACCCACCATGGCCTCACCCATCCCCCTCTCATTCCCCCTCACCCCCACCCCCGCACACTCGAGCGCAAACCCCGCCACAACCCGCTCCGCCTCGCGTGCGCACCCCGTCAACGCATGATCATCTCCCTCAAAAAGCCTCAACTCCCTTTCCCCCCCCCGTGCCATACATCTCATACAAGCTCTCCGAGCACCCATGACTCAGCGTGCAATCTCCCGTGCCATGTAGCAACAACAAAGGGCGTGGAGCGAGCAATGCTACACCATCTGCCTCGGCAGTCTGCGGCGCGATTCCCACGCAGCCCACGACGCGCGCATCGCGACTTGCGACTGTGAACACGGGTGCGCTGCCGAAGGACCAGCCGACCAGCACGAAAGAGGATATATACGGTATGTATCTTGGAGTTTGCGCATCGCGGCGAGGACGTCGCGGACGCAGTGCGGTGTGCGTGCTGGGAAGCGGTAGTCGAGGCGGGAGCGCGGCCATGGGATGTGGGAGGGAGGCTAGTTTCTCGGATAGAGACAGGTACATGGAATGAGGGCCCGACGACGACGACGACGACGACGACGCCGCCGCCTGCGCCAGAGAGGAAGATGACGCCGGTGGTGGTGGCGGGTGTGGGCGAGGTGGAGAGTGGGAGGTGCAAGAAGCCGGGGACGCTGCCGTTGGGTTCTGACGAGACTTTTATCGAAAGCGGGCTCGACGATGGAGGATGTGGCGTGCGCGTTTGGGGCGTGGGAGAGGGAGAGGTAGTCGTCTAGACGGGCGGGTTTCCAGGAAGGGAGAGGGGGGGGGGGTGATGAGGATGATAGGGGGAGGTCTTGGGTGGTGATGCCATAGCTGGTCGGGTCAAAATGTCAATGTGGCTTAGGAATCTTTTTCATGAGATCCAAAAAAAACACAATGGAAGAAAGAATCTTTCTCGAGATTGGGCTTGATGATTTACACTTGTTCTTTGATTGAATACAAGACTTATGTTTCACCACTTTGCTCGTTACACCAATTTGCCTCCCCCCCCCCTTCGGAATCATACTTTGCGTTGTGTGACATCCCCTTTTTTTGGAAGCTTCTGCAGACACTGGAGTATATGCTGAGCTTCTTGCCGTCAGTGAATATGATTTCCTCTACCCTCCCAAAAAAACACTTGGACAATAAGTCTTAATGAAACAACGTGATATCAAAAGGGACACTCGGTCGCTTGATGGCAAATGCAATAGATGGTATCGAATTTCATACATGATCAAGACGAACAACGAGATTAATTGACCCAAGAAAAAACTCCTTCGTAGCCCAAATCCATTTTGTTTTGTTAGCTCTGTTCAACTGTTCACTTTGGCCCGCTCCATTTCCCACTCGGTGTCTTTCCTCTGAACCCACCTCCACCTCTACCCCGCGGAGACTTCGTCTTTTCAATCCTGCCCTTTGCTCCCCCTCTACCCTCTCCACCGCTGACATTGCCTCCCCTCGATCTCTCCTGGCCCAATGCTCGCCTCTGATTCTTTTGCCCAGCACCTCCACCCTTCGCACCGCCTCTACCCATGCCTGAGCCAGACTTTGCTTTGCGAATTTCTTGCCAGTCTGCCTCGGCGCCATCGTCGTCCATGTCCATTTCGTCATCTTCATGAGTGCGCTTGTTGCTGAACTTGAGGCGTCCCTTCTGGCCGGTTTGAGCGGCATCGCGTCCTCGGATGGCGTCAACATAGGCGTTGATACCCGCTTCCAACGATGTGTTTTGGTCATCGATATCCATGAGAGCATCCTCGTCATCGGCAGCTTGCTTCTTTGATTTTTTGCCCTTGACCTCTGTCTCGTCGTCTGATTCGCCAAGGATGAGTTTGCCGTCTTCGTTCGTGCGCGCCTTGATCTTCGTTGGCTGCTTGCGTTGACGCAGAGGCTTTGTTGAGGATATGTTTCCGAGAGCGCGCTTGGACAGCAGATCGAGAGGCTCGTCCTCATCTTCGATGATGTAGGTGTTGCCGCCCTTTGCGCCGCCGCGCTGTTGTTTGCTTTGGCTCTTGACAAATTCGTCCTCGGAATCACCCTCGCTTTCGTCGCTCTCGCTGCCGTATACAGCTTGGTCGTACTCGCTCTCAAACTTGCCCTTTCGCTTCTCAGTTGGCTCTTCGCCATCCTCCGCGGCCTGCTGTTTCTTTTTCTTGCGCTGCTCGCGTGTCTTACGGATGTTGGTAATTAGCTTGCGATCCTCCATAGGAGTGGCGCGCTCAACTTCCTCGACACCGAACTTGCGAACCATGCGCTCCACGATATGCTTGACCTTGGCCTTGAAGTGAGCCTTGTGCTCGTGGCTCCAAACCATCAGATTTTTGAGAAGGGTGTTGAGGCGCGGGCGGACGAGCGACTCGGGCAATGATATAACCTCGACTTTGACAAAGCCAAGTACACTGCGGACAATTTCGCGATTGGGGTTCTGGAGGAATATGTCCATGAGATCGCAGAGATTTGTGATTGTTTCCTTGGATACCTGGTCATGGAATTGGTAAAGTATACGGGTGACGGCTGTGATGGATGCAGAAATCATGTGTGGGGTCGTAGCGGCCAGACCAGCTGACACCATTGTGAAGTACTCCTCGAGCGATGCCTCTACTGTGGGGGCATCGGCAGGCATATTGGGTACCTTGGATTGCACAACCTGACCGCCCTGAGCCATCTTCTCGCCCATTGCGACAAGCAGGTTGTAGGCAGCCTCTCGAGCTTTCTCGTTGGTCTCCTTAGCCGAAATGACGACCTCAGAGAGGATAGAAGGGATGAAGTGAAGATCGCTCTCGGGCAAAGACTCAAGAACCTGGAATAGCGCATTGAGTCGGTCTCTTCGTGCGGGAGCTGATGCCTTTTCTGCACTTCCGAGAAGCAGCTGCTGTAGCTCTGCATTGCGCTCTCTCAAAGCTGCTCGACCCATCTCAGATTCTGCAAGCCGAGGAATAAGCTTGTATGCCTTCTTCTGCAGTTGCGGCTCATTCTCCCGATTGATCATAATCTCGGCCATACGGAAAAGCGAGCGATAGCTATCACGTGGGAGGTACAAGGCGATTGTGATGATTAGATCCATGAGGGTGTGGCTCATGGGTGGCATCTTATTGGGGCCTATTTCCTGCTTTTGTTTGGCTGCTTGAGTCTGCGAGCCAGGTTCAGGTAGTGAGGCCTCAAGATTGGTCGCAACTCGCTCAAAAGTTTCCATGAGCTCTCTCTCAGGCACAATGCTCAGATACGCGTTGATAGTCCTAAGGATAGTGCCGCGGTACTGCGGCAGAGTCTGGCTGTATACGTTAAATAGGACTGCAAGCATGTTGCTTGCAAAGTTGGCGAGATGGTCCAGATTCTTCTGTGCATCAGCTTTAGAGATACGGGCCTGCGCAAGCAGGTCGTCTTCGGACTCCAGTTCCACAATGGCCTTGTTGCTGTCTACCATATTCTGTAGAGCTCTGCAGATGTCCGTTCGTAGATCAGCTTGACCATAAAGAAGATTTGCCAGCATCTCACAAAAGGTCTGATCGAAAGCCTCGACCAGATCCAATGGCAAGTCGCAATAGCCGGGCAAGATTGACCAGATTTGTTGTACTACTGTTTCGAAAACCTTGATCTCCATTGTCTTATCCTTCTCGCCATGATCTATGACCTTTTGGTAGAGCTCTTCGCTCAACGGAACCATCTCTTTTCTGAAGTGGAACAGCTTGGCGTTGTGCACAGAATCGCGAAGGAGCGGAAGCATCCAGACTCGTCCAGTCTGTCCTGGTGGTGGCCGTGGCAAGTTCAAGGGGAGTATCTCAAGGACAACATTAGGCCCCATTGCAGTGATTGCCTTTGAAATAACTGCGTCTGCTTCTTTTTTACCCGCAAAGCTGTCATTACCTCTAAGGTCACCGACAACACGTAGCACAGGTTTGAGGATAGGATCTGAGCGCCATCTGAGAGTCTCGAACATCGCGGCGAAGACGTTAAACACTTCCATCCAGGCAGCTTGATACTTGACGCTCAAGAGATCCTGGGCAACCTTAGCAACTTTTTCCAGTGTCTTCTCGTCGAATACAGAGGGCTCGAGGATGACGCTGTCGGGGATGAGGTTTACGATGAACGAGATTAAACACTCAGAGGCAGAGATGCGGATGTTGTGCGACGAGGATGTAAGGAACTCGGCAATGGTGGTGAACAACTCGGGCAATTTCATAAAGGTCTCTTCGGGCTCAATCTGAGCAGAGACTTCATATCCGCGTGATACGACTGCTATCCAGGGCGGAAGCAGCTGTGAGTCGTTTTTGGAGGGCTGCAGCTCGGAGATGACTTCGAGCAGTCTGGGAAGCTTAGCAGACGCAAGCTCGTTGGCCATGCCTGCAAAGATGACCTCGAAAATGTCAAAAGCAGCCATAGTCAAGAACTCGTTGCTCGACTTGGAGATGTTGAGCAGCAGCTCGCACAATACATCGATCTTGGTGCTTGGCCAGCCGCCAGACGACATAGCAATCGTCTTGATGAGCTGCAGAGCATGAATCAGGTCGGGGTCCTTGTTTTCTGCATCCCTCTTTCCCTTGTGCTTGCGCGCCTTGGCTGCCGCCTCCGCCGCTATGTCCTTGAGCATTTTTTGCGCCGTCTCAGCGCACATGTCTGCTGCGGGATGGTCTAGCGCAGGGCTTGGCGGCGGGTTCGCAAGCACCTTTTTGAGTGCTTCCTGTGCCCTCTTCCTCACTTTGGGTCTGTGGTCGACTGATATCTGCAGTAGTCCCGCGACAGCCCTACGCGGGCTGATGGTTGTCTGTGGCAGCTCCCAAGCACGCGCATCCTGCACGAGCAAAAGCGACTCGAGGCATCCTATCGAGGACCTGATCAGTGGCGCATCGGCGTCTTGTGCGGTAAGGGCGGGCGCGAGGCTAGTGAGGATATCGGTGAACTTGGATCGCAGCAGCGGGGCGGGTACATGGGGTGTGACAAGATCCAGCAGGTAGATGGTTGCTGTGGCCGTGTCCTTGTTAGCAATTCCCTGGGCCGTTATTTGACGGGCCAGTAGCGATAGCAAGGCTGCGAAGTAGGCTGTCGGCGTGAATTCAGAGTTTTGCTGGCGGAGCGTATCTTCGATGGCCGAGAGCAAGACATGGGTCTGCAAAGGTCAGCGGCGGCCCTCGCAGCAAAGGCGAAAAAGACGAGACGAAAGTAAATCTTACCTGCTGCTGGCCTTGAAGCTTCGGGTTGTCCCGGATCTTGGACAGTCTCTCGTCGAGCGACATTGCGACCAACTTCCGCGTGGGTGTAGACTGTTGCGCGCGACAAGTGCTCAATTTTTGGGCCTCTCGAACTTTTTTGACCTGGCAGGGATCCTGGCTGTACGCTATCGATAGCTGCGCACCGCCACCAGCCCCACCAACTCCACCATTCATGGCTCACGCCTTGCACACAGCCACATTGAGTTCCATTATAACCATTGCAATTGCAGTATTTTCATATGTATCGTGCGCTATGTATCGAAGCTGACATAGGAAGGGTATAAACAAAAACATCGCCAATGTGTTGTACAGGATTTGCGTACCACCGCAAAAAAAAAACCTAGGGCCAGATGTGCACACAAAGCACGCCCCTCTGGTCCACACCCATATTCCCTCCCCTTTATAACCCTACTATTGTAATGTATACAAGCATTAAGCAACTCGTAAGCTGCCGCGAAAGCAAACAAAGTAAATCTTGTAAAACAAAGAAAAAAAGATTACTCCTCCATCAGGGTATCATCAACACGCCCCCGCACGCTAGTCTTGCTACTCTTCTTCGAAATGTTCATGAAGCTGAGTCTCTTCTTCACACTGCCTGATCGCGACGCTAGTGATTTATCGCTCTTCTGGCTCTTGACCGTGTCTGGTCGTGGCGCGCTCGACTGGCGCGGGAGGCTGCTGTCACTCATGTTCGATCGGCCATTACTTGGGAAGCTTGGCAACGCCTCTGGCTGTGGCGAGCTTGGTGTAGAATTGAGGAAGTTCAAGCTCAGTCGATGGCGGCTCGATGGTTCCTTGTTGCGGCTACCCGACGAGACTGTGGTTGAAGCGTCGTCGTCAATTGTCGGTTTTTCCACCTTGAGATCCTTGTCCTTGTCCTTTTCCTTTTCCTTCTCTTTTTCCTTGTCTTTCTCCGATTCCCCCAAGAGGAAATCTTTGGTCAAAAAGGCTAGACTGTGTCTTTTTTTGTCTTGTCGGGAAGACCGACCATTTTGTACTGGTGGTGCTACCTTGTCTCCATTGGCTGTCTTTTCGTCAGGTGCCGGACTTGCTACTCGTGAACGCGACGTAGCTGCCGCCAGCCATGAGCCAGTAGGGGACCGTGTCGCCGGAGCAATGTTTGTAGGCAATAGAGCGGATAGTTCTCGGGAATAGGCCGCCTCAAATCCTGCTATGGTTAGATTGTGTCAACAACATTGTGTTTCCTGGGATACATACGTTGTGAAAGGTCTGCTTTGGTGGCTTGCTGAGCAGGCCTCACATATAGCGACAAGCAGCGGCGAATAACGAGAGCATAATCAATCAAGGCAACTCTCATAGCATTCTCCAAAGGATTAGGTTGGGACATCTCATCATCGTCTTCTGCATGATCCAGTGGCGGGAGCAGGTCGTGATAATTGGCCACGCAGTCTCGTGAATTCGTATCGACAGCATACATGAGTTCTTGAGTGAGCATGTTGAAAGCAGTGTCGTCGCCATCTGCAATGCGCTTTTCAATAGCAAGGAGCTCTACTGTCTTGCGTGATGTGCGCTCAATGCCCATTTGCAGTGGCGTAAGTGTCACAGTGCCTACAGCAACGATTTCACTTCTTCGTAGGATTGTTGGAAAGCTCTCGGCTGTGGTGTAGAGGCTCTTCTCTGCAGTTGCCTCTCTCGGGTTGAAGGCTGATGGCGAACGACGAGATGCTGACGTGAAGTGAGATGGTCGAGATAGCAGGTAGTAGTCCTTGACGGATTGAGACACCTTTGCTCGTTGGTAGATTGGATGTGTCAGATCCTTCTGTGGGCTGACCGGGTAGATTTGCAGGTACTGGCCTTCGACGTCTACTTCTGCACCGGGATTGATGACCTGTGCTGAAGGATGCTGTTGTTGCATTCTATCTGTGAACGAGGCCAATCGATCATTGGATGATCCTTCAAAGATGAACTGCTTGTCCCGCAATCCAGGAGGAAATCCTAGACCCCTATACACCACCCTGAAGTAGCGGGGGTTGGGGCGCTCGCCCCTGGCGATACTTTCGTGGATCTTAGCCATGGCATGCTGAGTTCGTGCAAGCTTCGCAAAATCGAAGATGTTGTGTTCGTATTGTGTCGCAAGCTCCCTGTAAGCAGCCAACGCGTTGTCCCATGACTGTCCGGTCTCATAGTGGTCGATCATCTGGAAGTAGAGTTGTTCCTTTCGCTCAAATGCAGACTGAGGTGGCATGCTCGGGTCTGTAAGTGGGTCTACAGTCAAGTTTGGATCCCAGTCATACAACTCAGCATGCAATCGGAGCGCAAGTCCTGCCTCGGTGTAGTTCTGAGCGTCGGCCTGAAGTTCAACAAGCTGATGTACGTAGCGGATGTACATGTCTTCCTTCTGCATGTCCTTCAAGAACTCCATTAAGTGCAGTGTGTCCATGATGTGGAAAATCTCTCCAGTGGCCTCGGTGCTGTGCACAGCAACGAGCAGGTCAAGCAGCTCATCAACAGTGGAGATGAGGTTCTTCAAGGCCCCAAGCAACTCTTCTTCAGGGTTGTGGGCAAGAGGCTCAAAAAGCTCAATCAGCTCCTGAATGAAGTGTTTCTGCGAGACGGCTTCAGTTAGGTGTTTTGTCTTGAACAGGTTGTCCAAGCAATCAATCATCTCGGCCTGTATAAGAGCCAGGTCTTCACTCAACGTCCATTCGCTGATGATCATCGTTTGCAGCACTTCAATAGCTACACTGCGCAGACCTTCATGAACACTGAGACAAAGCTCCACAATGGGTGCGACCAGCCCGGGCACATATTGCACTTGGAAGCCACCCATCTTGTCAAGTCCGTACTGGGCCTTGTCTTCGGCGGTCGCCTCCCAGCCAATGGTCTCCCAACTACGTTGCAGCAAATCCGCGCCGTGTTCACGAACATCGCCAGCGATCTTCCACACAGCCCGACGCTTCTGCTCTGGGAATGTTTCCAACGCAAGCGCATCACTGCCCACAAGCTTTAGCAACGCATCGAAGAATGCGCGCCACAGTTCCGTGCTGAAGCGGTCAGCCTCATCAGGAAGAGGAAGAAAAGAGTCGGATAGGATGTTGAAGAGTTTCTCTAATGCACGCATGGTGGCCTTGTGGTGGTAGATGTGCACACTCAGCCAGGAGCTGGGAAACGCCTCGCAATCGAGAATGGAAATGTACACCTGCAACACCGAAAACAAAAATTCAGCTGTCTCCTCCTTGGGCCACTCTGGGTGTAGGAGTGAGGGTAGACTCGACATTGCTGCAAGGACAGCCGAAATCTCAGCCATAGCCTCGTCAAACGAAGCCTCAGCAGTCGTGGGCCGTGTCTGGAAAGGGTAGCTTGTAGGAAACAATAGAGAGAGCGTCTTCTTAGGTGGCCGAGGAGTGGCTTGTATGGCACGGTATGATTCGACCAGTTTTGGCATGTACTCGGGAGCTTCCTTTCCAAGTTCATCCACCTGCGATGCTACCACTGAGCAGCAGAGGCGTACTTGGTCCTTCCACTGGTCGGTGACGGTCTCTACTCTACCCCAGTATGGCGCTAGCCACTGCACCGTGCTTGCTAAGAGCATGCGGCGTACTTCAGGCGGGCGGAAGATTTGAAGATCCGACAGATGATGAATCAGAACGAGCTTGTAGAGGATAAGCTTGCCCTGTACATCGGAAGAGGATTCGATGAACCCAGCAGTCAGCTTGAAGACTTCTGTAGCAGGCATGCATCCTTCTAGCTCCGTGATCCAAGCATGAAGGTTTTGGACTAAAATGGTCTTGGTGCCGATGAGAACAGGTGATTGGTTCTTCATCAGGGATTCGAGAGATGTAAAGAGCACCTTCATTTCCTTGCTGAACTGGGCTCTGTCCTTGATGCCGATGCTCTCCTCCTTTGCCTTTTGCCTCTCTCGAGCGTTGACCAGGAACTTCATGATTAGTTTGCCAACCTTGAAAGTCGCACGTAGCCTCCGGGAACTCTCTGGGTCGGTAGGTTTGGCTAGAAGTCGACCGAGACTTTGCATCAGACATGAAGTGACGAGCGAGTGGAACACCTTAGTCCGAGCGTACTGATCCACAAGGGGCTCGAGGTTGAAGCGTCGGTCATGAACGATTCCCAGGACAATCACAACGGCGTTGAAAACTAAATCCTCGTACTCATCACTGCCAGCATAATGGCTCTGGATAGCAAAGAGGGCATCGAAGACCTCACTTAAAAGCTTGACGATTTCAATCTCTGGGACGAAATTGAATCGGCGTAGTAACCCTACGAGTTCACCTGGTGGTTGTTCTTGCCACTTGATGAGACCTAATATTGTCGGGTCTTGAGAGTATTTTGTGCTGCAGAGAAAGGTTTTGACGTGAACGGCAGCCATTGGACCCATGACATGCTCATCCTTCTTCTTAGCGCTCCATGGTAGTCCAAGGTAGGCGCCTTTGCCAGCAATCATACCCGAGGTGTATTCATCGTATTTGTACAAGGTCAAGGCGTGGTCGCCATCGCGGGCAAAGGCGTCCTGGTTCCAGAGTGGCATCCAGCATAGGGCAAATGGGAATCCAGGCGCGTCAGCAACGCTCATGACTAGGTGTGAACCAGGCACGTCTTGAGGATCAATGGCAAGCCGGATGGTCGAGTTCCAGCCTTCGCCTCGTTGAGCTGCTGTTGTGCGCCATGCTGTGTGGCCTGCACTGTTGGTGGACGGATAGATGCAGCCTTCAATGCGTTCTCCAGAGCTCTTCCGAACCTCGATAGTGAGCTGCAAGTTGCTCATAGGAGAAGTTTGTCCCAATGGAACAGAGCCAGTCTTTGGGTGAGCCAAAAAGGCGTTTTTTGGAAGGAAAGGCTCGACCAGTGTCAGGTAGATGTCACTACGGGGTTTAGTTGGAGCACCTGAGAAGCCAATCTTCCGACACTGCTTGATGTTGTGAAGCACTGTCGGGACCTTTTGAATGAGCCGCTCAGCATCGGTCTCGACAAAGGCCTTGAGGTGTATGGTGATGCGGCTAATATGGGGATCCCGCGTATACTGCCCACTGGCACTAGGGTATATCTCAGGGAGTATACTGTCCCAGTCACCCCCATCTTCGGAAACATCTTCACCAGATGCTGCGGTACAAAACATGGCAACAGTGCGGTCTGCTTCGGAGCGTGACTGCAAGACTTGGTTTACGGGGACGACGCCAACTGCGACTGTTCTTTTTAGCGTCTTCTGATCTCGAGACAGAGCCCTTGCTCGTGTGGTTGCAGTTGCAGCCGACCCCGGACGTGGCTCGGCTGTCTGGGAGCGGCTCTGGTCGAAGCTTTGATGTCGGCGCTCTTCAGACGAGTCAGTTTGTCGTGAGTTGACTGACTCCTTCCTCTTTGATCCGCCAAACATGACGCTGCGCCTGCCGCCCTTGATGCTTCCTTGTTGGGAAGGCTGCACCCCGGATGTCTTGCTCGGAGTCGTTTCCCTACTTGAGCCGCCCTTCTCGCCGGCTGAGGACGAGCGCAGAGGCTCATTGGTGGTGAGTCGAAAGACGAGATATAGCGTGGAGCCAGACCCCGCGCCTTCGCCAATGTCCGTCAGGCTGAGATCTACGAGCAGTGCGCGCAGCTTGTCGCCAGCCAAAGACACGGCTGTCCCGTCTTTGTTAGTCAGGTCGAAAGAGTAGGCCTCTGAGAGGGGTTGTGGTGCAGTACCAGGTGTCTTGAGACACAGGTGCATGCATATTTGAGCCGCTCCAGGCACAACGTCGCCCGCCACATGCTTGAGACTGACGAACAAGTGGTGCAGATTGTGCTCATCGAGCTGTGGAGTGGGCCGGCTGTCGAGAAGGCTCATCATTGACTGCAACTTGGTAATCTCAATGGCCGAGTCGTCGCCTGTCAAGATGCGCCCGCGCTGCGAAGGGCTGCGCACAATGACATCCCCACACAGCATCTTGTTGCCGGCAACTAGATCCCAGACGGTTTCTTCCCGCACCTTTTCCAGTTCCTTTGCGGTGAGCACCTTGTGCAACAGTTGGCGGCGTGCCGTGTCCAGGGTGTTGACGAGCGTGGACATTTTGTCCAGCGAGCCATATTTGCGTGCAAGCAGGAGCTCGTGCACCTTTGTCGAATGCCATTCTCGCAGGCACGAGGCGATTTCGTCTACCAAGGGCTCCTGGGCGGATGTGGGTGTCTCGTCGCCAATCTTGAGCATGGGTACGGGCGCGGGGGGTCGTGGGGCGGTTGGGTCTGATATGGGCGACAGGGGAAGGGCCAATTGCTGCAGATGCTCTTCGCGGGCAGTCCATTGCGAGTGGGTGCTGCCTGCGCGCTTTCTGTTTGATCTGCGGCTGGAGGGTGGGCGGCCGGTGGTGGGATATGGCAGCGAGGAGACGGCATCGCTCTTTGAGCTTTGGCGGGCATGAGCGGTCGAGGCTTTTGCAAACGGAGAGGTGGTGCGAGTGCTCTCGGTGGGTGTGACGACGCCGTTGGTGTGCTGTGGATAGGTGCTGGCACGGCGGGCATCGGTTGCAGTGTCTTGGGAGGGCGTGTCTTTACTGTCGCCCAGAACCTCGCGCACCTCGACACAGACGCGTGGGAAGATGCCCGAGAAGACGCGCGCTTCGAGCGTCTGGCCCTTGACGCTCGTCAGGCCAGCCAGCAATGAGGGCGGCGCAACCAAGTAGCCGCGGTACCAGGCGCCATCTTGCCCACCCTGTTCAATTATGTACAGCTCATCGCCAATTTCGAGGGGCAGGTCGGCGGGCGACGAGGGCTGGAAGGGGTATATGCATATGGCGAACGCGATACGCGGGAGTGGTCTCCAGCTCGGCATGGCACCAGACGTGTCGGGCTATATGGGAGGGGGGAGTCGGCGACAGAGCATCACGAGCAATGGGCAGCGGGCTGGTGTCGCGGGGGCTCTGGGCGAGAGGGACCTGTTTTCTGGAGGCGGATGAGGCGGACGGGGGGGGTGGCAGCAACAGAACAGAAAGAGGGTGGTGATAATGGGGGAGGGGGGGCTTGTGGTGCGCTGCTGGGCTGCAAGATGCCCCTGATGGGATTGCCGAATTGGAAATCTGGGGATAGTACTTAGTAGACAGTAAGTAGTCTCTAATACCCAAGCAAGAGTTAGGGAGAACAAGCGGGGCGCGAGGGACGCGAGGGAAGAGGACGATCTTGTCTGCGTCGCCTGCGCGTCTCGGAGGGCGTATGGGCGACGATGAATGGGCAGGCAAAAGTTTCAGAGACAGCAAAGGACAACGGTGATGGCCTTCACAGCGCCGTTCGGTAGCAGCCGTGCCTGCATGAAGCTCGGAGCACAGTCGTCGTATCAAGGCCAGCATGGCCCCCGGTCCCAAGCGCCGGCCATGGGTGGCTTTGCAACATTATGTACGTACGTACGTACGCATGTATCTATGTATCCAAGGACCACTGTGTATAGTGTTGATGATATGGCTTGCAAGCACCCAACGCGCCCAGAGCGGGTGTGCTGCCGCAGCTCCGGCGCGGCGGCGGGGTCTTGTTTGTTTGTTTATATGTACGGACGGACATGTCTATCCAGATGCATACTTGCTCTCCCGATAGATATACCAACTCATCCATGGCCATGCTGAGCATCAGTTGGGAAAAAAAACGGGGGTGGCGCTGGCGGGTCAGGGATTGGCACTGCACAGCGCTCCCACTGGCTTGGCTTCATTCTGCGCCGGGCCACCACCCATCCATCCAGCAACAGCCTGCAAGTATACCATCTACCCAACTCTCTCTCTCCCCTTTCCACACCCCCCCCCCCCCCCCCTCAACTTGGCTTGGCCTGTCCGCGATCGCTGCACGC